TTTTCATAATAAAAGAAAAATAATGTAAAATTAAATATATAAATAAAATTTATTTAGTAAAAATTACCACAGACTACGAACGTTATTATAAATTTATTTTATTTACTATTATTATTATGTGCAAGTACTGTGAAGGACAAAACAAGCATTTAAATATATTACAATGGAATATTTTTTTATGTTAACTTAACTAAATAGAAGTTCTTTTTGTTGTAAAGTTGTAATAAATGTTAGTTTTTAATCAAAACTATTTCAAAACAAGTAAGAAATTATAGTCGGTCGAGGCCGACCATATAATACCCTACACCTGTTACAAAATTAAGGCTAGTATAGAACTTGGTTTTGCAGCCTTTTGTCGAGATACCAGTATATTAAACATAATTATGAACTTAAGAGCCTTATTCGGCGGGTTCAGTTGTATGGGGGCTAGGTGAAATAATGGACCGATGTTAACCATTTTCAATAGGCTTCGTCTCCGATACTATAGAAGATCGTGTGCCAAATATCATTGAATTATCTTAAAAATTTCGACCTGTAGTTTGATTACAAGGTTTACAAGCCCTACTCGGAGGTTCAGTTGTATGGGGGTTAGGTGAAATAATGGACCGATCTTAACCATTTTCAATAGGCTTCGTCCCTGTGACAATAGAAGGTCATGTACCAAATTTCATTGAATTATTTTCAAAATTGCGACCTGTAGTTTGATTACACGGTTTACATGGACGGACGGACGGACATAGCTCAGAAAATGATTCTAAGCCGATTGGTATACTTTAAGGTGGGTATTGGGCCAATATTATTGTGCGTTACAAACATCCCCACTAAAGTGGTGTAGGGTATAATGAAATTGAAACTAAATGTGTATTAATGTTCCAAATGGTAAGTGCTTTAAATGTTGTTACATTGGGAAATTGTTGTAAAGCTTCTAAATCAACATAATATGGAATAATAATAGAGAAAAAATTGGTCTCTCTCTGTCAGGAGAATCCATTCTAGAATAAATAACTTTAGCAAAAACGAAAAGGATGGGCCCATTGTGAGAGCCTTAGAATTGCCATTCCCTTAGGTTGAGAGATTGATTTCCCTCCCTAATTTCGTTGACTACCTGTTTCTTGCGGTCCCCATGAAAACTGGATGATATTTCTAATAAAACCGAATATGTTTACTAGCGACGCATATCTGAGTCTGGGACCAGATCATGGAAAAGTGCTCTAACAAGACAAAGTAGTCACTCGTAAGGCAGGGCAGTCACATAGAAGGTGTTGTACCGATTCCTCTTCTTCCTTGTCCAAACAGCTTTTACAGTAGCTATAATGTGGGTAGCCCATACGTTCCGACATATGTCCAATCATACAGTGTCCCGTAATTATACCAGTGAGAAGCCTAATCGAATACTTACTAAAAGACAAGAGTCCTAGTCCTATCCGTTGTTAGAGTGGGCCAGAGCAGTCTCAATATTCTACAAGTGGGGATATTTGAACAGCTGAGCTCTCTCTCACTCAAAGTCCCAATTTTGATAAGGTCACCACGGGAGTGTAAATATCCCTTTGCGAAAGTGTTAAGTCTAGGAACGACCCTTTGGTTGCGCATTCATCAGATATTTCATTTCCTTTTAATTGCAATCATGTCCTGGAACCCAAATAGAATAGTTTGTTTGTTTAACTTCAGATACGAAGAACAACTATCGGGATTGTTGAGAGCTTCTTTAACAGAGTGCCTAGTAGGAATCGAAGTCACGACCTCTGCACTGCTCAGCCCCAAAAGCACTGCTCATTTTGGAGGGCAAGCCAATTACGGATACCCTGTTCTGAAATGGAACATACGCTAGCTTTCATGCTCTTCCAGCGTAAATTTCTATCATATACAATTTCCCTACAAAGTGTTCTATTAAATGAATTATCGTCGGTACGCACCATCATACCTCGGTCGTAATTACTATAAGTAGACTTCTTGTCCTCCTCTTGTTGGAGTCACCCCATACGATCTTAGTGCCCACTGTGATCTCATTGTGTTGAAAGATTTTGTATACGTCAGTTTAACTTCCTCAAGTTGCTTGCTCTTTCATTGCCTATTATCCTTGAGTAGCTTAGTATTTATATATAAAAGAGCTTTACACTCAAAGAGTATTGGGCTTTAGCTATGTTACAGTCCAATGTAGTCTTAAATGTAACCATATTCACTGATGCCATCCTAATTGTCTTCTGTCTTATAGGTGTTTTTTTTCTAACGAGGTGCTTGGCCATCATCTTGAGTCACAACTCCCGACAAAGTCTGTCTCTGGTATGCGAGCAATAGATGGTGTTTTCCATTAGATTACCAAATGCCTGAATTTTTTTCAGGCTTAACTAATCGATATTCTAATATTAAGAGTCCGAACATTAACACCTACTTAGAGAGTCCAACAGTTGTTCTCCATCACATTACCAAATGCCTGAACTATTTTGCAGTCTAAAACATCCGGGATTTTAATCATGAGATTTCGAACATTAACACCTACTTAGACAGTCCGCCATATCTTAAGACTCTCGGCTCTAACCTAATAAGTTCTGATGGTAATAAGTTTGATACTGATACCGCAGTATGGAACACAATCTAAGAATTGGAACTCAATTGGTGCGCAGAATATCCACAAAGTTCCGATTTTGTCTTTCACGGAATTTTACCATCATTTTCTTGGACCTTGATATATTTTCGTTAACACTACTGTGAGACATATGCTTACGGGACGTAGTGCTGAGTGTAGAAGTTGTTTAGAAGAAGAAACTGTACAAAAACTCATTCATAAGACTGCCTGGATCTACACTTCTCAGGACATCTCAGATATCATCTATCATCAGTCACTATTGAGATTATTCATCGAATTTTAAGGTGAAAGTGTTCCACCGATTCAATGTTCGAGAGTTGGCTTGTGAGAATTTCAGCTCACTTTGAAGGCCAAGAATTGGAGTCGTTACTACATGAGATCTGCTATCAAACTTAATAAGAGATTGAAAAACCATTGGGAGCTATTCAAGCAGCAATTTCAAAGCATATCCGAGCAGGAGGATTTTTCCACAACCAAGGAAAATGGATTTAAAGCAGAGGAGCTCAAAAAGAGTCGAAGAACTAGAGATTGTATGTGAAGTCGAATCGACACCAAAGTCCAATATCCATGGCAATGCTCTATACTTGACGGGGCTAAAACGGTTCTATCTATTATGAGCTGCTAAAATCGGTCCAGAACATTGAATATTACGCTTTCATCTCCTGATTGAATACAACGGATTCGTTTAAAGCGACCATTGGGTGAAAAACGCTATGTACATGGTGGAGTTATTATGAGCTGCTTAGGTCGATTCCGAACATCTCAGGAATGCAACGAATTCGTTTAAAGCGACCGTTGGCTGAAAAACGCTCTGTACATGGTGGAGCTATTATAAGCTTCTTAGATCGATTCCGAACATATCAGGACTGCAACGGATTCGTTTGATGCGACCATTGGATGAAAAATGCTCAGAACATGCGGCCAAACATGAAAGTGTAATATTCTATCACGACAACGATTGGCCACATCTATTGTAATACCTGTTAAAAAGTATTTTGAATGAACTGATTGAGAAGTTTTGCCTTATCCGACTTATAGTCCAAATTTTGAACCGTTCGGCAACTATTTGTTTCAATCGATACAGAATGCTCTCTTTCTCTCTTGTAAAACTCAGGGTATCTGTATTAGACTTGATCGATTACTGGCCTCAAAAGACAAGCAGTACTTTTGGCGCGGAATCCATATATTGCCAGAAAGAAGGGCAAAAGATGTACAAATGTTTCCAATTTATAAAACATTTATCCCTCACTGTATTTCCAGCATAAAGGTTTCAATAAAATCAACATAAAAAATATCATAAAATCCACTGCCAGATATAACATTTTAAAGCCTTTTTTCATTCCTCCACTGATGACTGTAACTCTCTAAGTTTGCACATGATGTTGGCATTCGACGCCATCGTTATTGTCGTTGACTCCATCACTTCTCTCAAATGGAGCGAATGAGTGAGTCTAGTATATATGTGTGGCATAAATCACTTGCTTTAAGGAAATCAAAATTAAAGTAGTTACCAGCAGCAGCACCAGCACCAACCAAGCCATATGGAGGTAAGTAGGAAAAGTAGTAGTTTGACATCGTCTATGATGACGATAAAATTGTCAGTATTATTATCTGCGGTTTGTTGAATTTCTTTCCATTTGAGTTTTTATTCCCTCTGCATGCAAAAACCACCATGAACTATATAATATGCGTTTGTATATGTAACTGGACCAATATAGATAAACCTACAATCTTATGAAAGTATATTCGCATTATAAAGTGTGACATTATATTACGTAGACGTTAATGTAGTTTGAAACTTGTTACGTGATTGAATTTGAGATGGAAAAAAAAGATGTTCAATATTTAATTGTATATATTTAAAATGTACTATATAGTCTATAAGGAACACATATAGTGAATTTTATTACATGAACGGAAAATTCCATTCTTCCCCCTCAAAAAATGTAAATTGTGTTAAAAAAAGTCAAATAAATTTGTAATTATTTCAACCATAAACAACAAATATACGTCGTTAAACAAAATTTAATTTTATTTTTTTTTAAATTATAACCCTTTTCCGCAAAAAAATGTATTTCAAAATGAATCAGAGAATTTGTTAATATTCTGTTCTTTATTAAGAATTTATGACGTTACGCTTCATGGCAAAAAAGGTTTTTTTTTTGTAAAACGTATAAAAAAATTTATTTCATTTTGATGGACAAATGGCCGGGATTCTAAAACAACAAATTACATAAAATTATTCGAGCATCAAATGTTTTTTTTTTCTCTATCATCAATATGATCGATCATTCGATTGATCGTAAGCGTGTTATTGGCATTTAGCTAAAGGGTAATAAATTTTTATAGAAGAATGAACACTTTAAAAATTTATTTATGGTTTTTAGTATTAGAGGTATTAATTCGCAAAACTTACCTTTTTATGAGAGGCAATGTGTTGGGTATGATTGTCATCACCTGCAAGAAGAGAGAAGAAAAAGAACAGAATTAGTAATTTATTAATATTTTGTCTGAATTGAATTTTAAATGTGAAAAATATCATTAAGTTTTGAAAGGAATTTTTAATGCTTAGAAAACAAATTCTAATATTACTTGACATTACGAGACTAGAGTGATCAGTACTACTCGATACAGCTAACGGCAGAGAGTAACACATTAACTTTCTGTCTGTTTTTAATGGTATATGTGAAAGTAAGAGACAGAGAGAGAGAGAGCGATAGCTATCTCCGATGAGGTTAGATTGAAATCAAACCTCTCTAATTTCTAGAAAATTTCGGGCGTAATATTTTATATAGCGATAGATCAAATAAATGATCATCCAATATTCGAAATTCCCCAGAATTTTCCAATCAATGTGCCTGAAGATTGAAATATTGCTCCCATGAAATTTGGATCTAAATTCGGCGCAAGCCAGAAAATAAAACATAAAGTATTCCTGTGATTTAATGTACTCTCTGCATGCCCAATATTTGCGTCGAAAGATTTTGCATTCGTCACGTTAACTTCTTCAAGTTTTTATAGAAAATATATTTGTTCTTTTATTGGCGATTAATCCCGAGCGGCAATGAATCTTTGATACTCCTTCGCGCAATCATCGATTATGTTCGATACTAATGCTTGATCCGTTAATTGAGCATTCGTTCGTAAGATAGGATCGGAACCGGTCAATCGGACAACCCGATATCGCAAACGTTGGCAATTTCATTCCTGGAATGCCTCCATGTAATGAAACCTATAGTAACTACACAAAGTGTCGTCTTAGTTGGGACATTCATTTCGACTTTATATCGTTCGATGTGGGAGCCTTAACAGATGTAAGACTTGTCTTTGTATATGTTAATATTCTAAGTCTGAAAACTTTGTTCACAGATGTTTTCGCGTTCGTATCGATGGATAAAATTTCAGCCTGAGAAATAGTGCAAGCTTATATGATGCAGACCTAGAGACTTAGCTCATGAGTCATGACAGACAATTCGTTGTAGACTGCCATCGTGTCGTTCCGAGCATCTGAATCAAGTGTTTGTAGCCCCATCCACTTTTGTTGGTATTCTTATTCAAAAGGTCCAGTTAAAGCTTTTTGCAGGTAGTTTATAATCGGACTGCCGTCTCAAATTCGGTCTACATGCTGCTCTGATCGATGTTATATAGTATTTAAGCGCACTCGACACTCTGAAACTAAATCATAAATCATTGCCTCCAGTCAGGCCTAAGACGATTTGATCATGGATGAAATAAAGACGAGATAATCTTAGAATCTTGAACAAAATGGACAGATGTGTTTAGTGTACCTCCAGTTTAGGTTAGGAGGATGTATACTAGATCAAACCCGAAAAAATACACCTAGGCCAGTATCGGGCCTGTTGTGCGTTCCTTCTCATGAAACAAAAACTTGTTTTCTAAAAGTATGTTCTTTCAATGTTCAGAAACTCAGTTTCCTGGACGTAATTCCTAAGAATTTTCCAATCACTGTTAGTCAGGAACGTTATTTCCGGAATAACAACACTTCCAAGATATTTAGATCTAACTTTGTCAAATGCTTGACAGTGGCAAAGAAATTGCTCCAGAGTTTCACTGTCCTCTCCACATGCTTTAAATTCGTCTTAATCTGCTCGTCCAATTTTGTATAGATGTGCTCGTAATACTGTGTGTTCACTCAGAATACGTACCATCATAATAACCTATGATATGCTCATTTTGAGGAGATTTCTCGTCTTGCTCTCATCAGGGTCAACCCATAGGATCTTTGTTGTTCTACCCACCGTTTCATTATTCCAAGAGCCCTTATGGGATTCTCTCACTCATATTTTTCAATAATTCAGCTTTTGTTCCGTCGAAAGGTTTTGCATTCGTCAGATTATTTACACATTCCGTTATTGCTCGGACTTCTGTCTGGAAGCTTGTGCTATGATTAGGTAAACGGTGTTATATTTCTGTTTCTGGGTCTTCAATATAGAACCCCAGGCCCACTGTGTCCCCCAATTTAGCGCCATCCATGTAGCAACGTATTCCTACTGGTATTTGCTCTAATGTTCCGCTTGACCAAGACATTCTACCGGTAATCAACGTTTCAAAGTATCCGACATATTCTGTGTCTGGTATGCGATCAGACACGTCCGATGATTTTGTATAACTATCCAATGTGTAATGTATACATTGATGACGTGTCCTATAGACGCAAATTTAATTGTCCATCTCTTTCCGAAGATTTTCTGGTCAGAATAGAAGGCGCATAATAACGCCTTACACTCCATGGGCTTTACGTTTCCACAAGAGATTAGTGTAACAAAGAAACATATGATCTTTAGAATAATATTTGCAATGTAGAAATGATGCAATCAGATCACGAATCGTCCAAAAACTTTTCAATACACAGTCTCGTAATTGTAATACTATCGAGGCCTTCTTTTTGACTTAACAACAACGCTTAGAGGCATATTTGATAGCCCACAACATAAATCTGACAGGACTTTAAGCAATTATCGAGAAATCTTAAGAATTAACGACTTGGTTCTGTACAGATTTTGTTCACTACCAATCATGCAACCATGCCGCCGATACGTTATCTGTTCAGACGGTAATCGCACTTAAAAACTTATGAAGAATTAAGTCTGGCCTAAAGCCAACATCAGGCCTTCAACAGGCGATATATTATGCGTTGAGATGGCAACAGCACAGATAGACTTATGCTTAATTAAGTTTAGCCTAAAGCATACATTAGCCCTTTAACTAGCATTATCTTCCCACGATATGGGTAGCAACCAACAAACACGACATGGACCCCCAAGGGACATCATCAATAGGCAGTAGAAGACAAATCCTACGTGCAAGTGTCTCCCGTGGTGCCAGATATTTAGGTTAGACCAGAAATTAATTGGTTGTTCTAGTTTAAGGTCCTAGCAGATCTGAGGTACTGTTAGAGAAGCTATTCTTGGGGGTTGTTATAGCAAGGCGAGTTAGAGTTAGGTTTGAAAAGTTAACATGCCTCTGAGGGAGTAATAATGAACTACAAAAGCTTTGAAAAGTCCTTAGTTTTGAACTTGCGGTGCTTTAGTAGGACAATTCAATTAGATTGATGGGTGGACAGTTCGATACCCAGCTGTTTCGTAAGTTGTTATATTGTAATAATAAATAAATTTCATTTCATTAAAAGGCAATAGTGTTACAACTTCTAACATTCCTTCTATACAATTCCCAAATGACATCATATCCCTTGATTATATACCCCAATAAAATATAAATTCCTAAAACACAAATCAGCAATATTCATGAATAAAAGAACAACTTACGAATAAACAAATGTCCACAAAATGCCGTTTGAATATTAAATTTGCGTTTTAAAAAGACCATAAATTAATTAGTAAAAAATGACCGTTAAATGTCAATTAGTTCAAAAAGTAACAAATAAAAATGAATTTGTTTGTCCAAACTCATAAAAATTATTAAATTTAATAACAAAATCAACAGTAGAGCCAACACATGTTCTTTCAACAAATTTTGTCTGAAAGAACTAACAGCAGACAATATGAATTAAAATTTTTTTAAGAAGTTCTTTAAAAAAACTGTTGTTAGAAAATCGTGTTGAAAAAAGAGCGAAAATAAAAAGAGCAATTTATACAACACAAAGCAGATTCTGTGGGATCTGTCAGAATTTCTATGGAAATTAAAATGTTATAAAAAAAGACATTTAAATTTTAACTAATGTGTGGCGCTGGTTTCTAATGAATTCATAATTTGAGCACATGTTTATTTAAATATTTTTTTTTTTTTCAGTTGAAAATATGTTTAAGCTGCGCTTGGTGGGTTTTTTAAAGTTTTGTTATCAAAATAATTATGTTTGAAATTAAACATCATAGAATGAATGAACAAACTAAAAACTGAAACTGAAAATTATATGTGTATAATTACTGCATATGAATTTATCTTGGTAAGATTTAAAATATCAACCTCTAACACTTCCATTAGGTTACACACACACACACACACATTTGAAATTGTTAATTGCAGTCATTAAAATAAGACTACAAACAAACACCAAACAATAACAATAGAAATTTTCAAAAAAACTAAAGCGTTAAAAGTCAAAACTAGAAAATAGAAATGAAAGCAGTCAGGCAGTCAGATCGAAAGTCAGACAGACAGACAACATTTAGCAGAGCTGAACATAAAAACTCATATATAAAACAACAGACAGCTGGACGCACAGACATATTTTCCGATTCGTAGTATGAAATGTCAGTAAGATCAACAGCAGTTTTCTGTTGCCAGAAGATCGTTTTTGTAGTATCTTTAAAACAGTTATGACTAAAAGATTAGAAACACTGTGTTAAAGCTTAAATAACACATTTAATATGCTCCAATTATTTAAAGTTTTCTGTTAATAGTTAAATAAAAATAGAGTACAAGTTTTATATATAAAAATAGAAATGTTTTAATATGGGGAAGAAATCTGTTAATAGGTCAAAATTAACAAGATTTTGACTAATGTTAAGATAACAACGAAGGTAGCGACTGGCTTACATCGTCCCCTTCAGTTTGAATGACTTTTTTTTACTAAACTAGAACTGAACTAGAACTAAACTAGAACTAAATTAGAACTGAACTATAACTGAACTATAACTGAACTATAACTGAACTATAACTGAACTATAACTGAACTATAACTGAACTAGAACTGAACTAGAACTGAACTAGAACTGAACTAGAACTGAACTAGAACTGAACTAGAACTGAACTAGAACTAGAACTGAACTGAACTAGAACAGAACTAGAACTGAACTAGAACTGAACTAGAACTGAACTAGAACTGAACTAGAAATGAACTAGAACTGAACTAGAAATGAACTAGAACTGAACTAGAACTGAACTATAACTGAACTATAACTGAACTATAACTGAACTATAACTGAACTATAACTGAACTAGAACTGAACTAGAACTGAACTATAACTGAACTATAA